AAATATGGCAAAAAATATCTCACCCGACATGGAGGGTTGGATGGTGATAGTCTGAGATTTATTCGGTCAAATAAATTGTCCATAAAAATTACTTTTTTTCCTGTTTTAGTCAAAAGTTCTGATTGGCATTGAAAATTTGGTTTCCGTCTGAAATTTGATAATTGATTTGAAGTAAGATTCTTTCATGTGCCAAAATTTGTTTTTTTTTTTGTGTATCTTTAGTCAATATAAGTAGATGTTTTTGCTCTTTGCTCATAAACTGTCTACTTCTTCTTACTCGTATGGTTTGGTGCTTTGTAAATTTTATCAAGCTTATTTTGCTGCTGGGAAGAGAGACAAATTAAGAGCTGCTGCTATTTGTTGAGGTATAGTATTTAGTAGTTTTTGAAGATTTTAATTTAAGAAAAGTATGAGTATTTGTTATTAATTTATTTTTTTTTTCTTTTGAGTTTCTATTAGTTGACATCTTTTTAACAATTTTTTGACAATAATTTAATTTTAAATGCAATATTAAATTATTATTAGCAATTATGTTGCACACATTTGTCCAGATCTAGTATTTTCTCTAGTTATTTTGGATTGAGGTTTGTTAAATGTAATGTTATAATTTTTTTGGTAATTTAGATTTAATCAGAAGAACACAAGATATTTTTAAATGTGCTATTTGTTCTTCTATCATAATCTTCATTTCCAACAGTAGATTTGTTACTATTGATTAATTGATTTTATTTGTACTTTGTCAAGGTACTTAAATTTTTGGTTTTGGGTGCATCTATCCCACTCAAATAAGTAATTTCTTATTCATTTTTCTAAATTAAAAATCAGTCAAACTACAATTAGATTATATAAATTTGTTTCTTTAATTTTTTTAGAAATTTAGTTTAGAAAGAAATAAAAAAAATATGATTAGTAATTAGGAATGTCTGATTAAATAAATCAAATAATTTATTATAAAATATTGATTTTATTATTCAATTAAATAAAAGTTAATATTGATTACCTTAATTAATTAATTGATTAGAAAGTTATGATTATATGCTTTAATTGTTAAATAAACTATAATTTATTATTGTTTGATTGCTAAAAAACTATAATTAATTAGAATGTATAATTGATTGATTCATAATTTATAATTACATATTTAAGTGCTAAGTAAATAAAAATATGTTGATTACTTAATTGATTATAAAAGTATGATTTCATTTTTTTTTATGGATGATAAATAATGATTATTGATTGATTAATTAGAGAATTATGATTATATGCTTTAATTGTATCTGTTATAATTAATTAAATTGTTTACTTCATTAAAAAAATTCTAATTAAATATAATGATTATAATTTATGACTAATTAAATCATAGTAGCATATTTAATTACAAAGTAAATTTTGATTAATTAAATTAATTAATTGATTATAAATTACTATGTTAATTAATGGACAGTTAAGATTACTTATAAAGGAAAATGGACAATCAAGATTACTTTGATAGCTACGTTTCGGACAGTCAAGCAGACTTTGACAGCCAAATGGATAGTCAACCAAATTTTGATATTCAAATGGATAGTCAACCATACTTTGACAGTGAAGTGGACAGTCAACCATATATTGACAGCCAATATAATGGTATAATTTCCTTTTCCTTTTCCCTCACATAACTTTTTAATTCATGTAGGTGCATACCATTTACTAACATATTACTTAATTTAATGTTAATTTTAGCAATTGTTGAAGATACTCCAGAATCATTATGGGATTGTCCATCTCGAATTCCTCCAAGGAAAAAGTTGACAAAAGCAAGGAATCATATAGCAATGCCCCAAGACATTCCATTACCTAAAAAAGAAGGGAACGTTGTCTGCCAAATATGTGAAATTCCTGGACAATTAGCTACTATATGCCCACACCGATATGCAGTAACTTGTCAACTGTGTAACCATGAGGGTCATACTGCAAAAGTTTGTCCAAATCGTTACCTTCCATGTGAAGTCATGTCAAACACATCCACAACACCTGTTGAGTCCTCTGAAACTATCACAAAGATTTTAGGTAATGGTCGTTGGCGTCTCAAATTTACGAAAAAGTCTTGGGATGAGGCAGCTGAAAAATTACGTTCTATTCAAGAACCATAATATCTTTACTTTACCCATATATATTCTGCAATATATTGTCTAATTTCCCTTATCCATGTCTGAGAGATTAGGACACTTTAATTGCACTCTATATCATAATATTTTAATTATAATGTTAGCCTATCTTTTATATTTATATACTTTAATTGTATGTTTTAATATATGTTTAAAATATAAAGATAAATAATTAATAGAAATTTTATATTATGTTAATTATAAATTTTATTTTAAAAAAATTTTAAACAAATCAAGTTAAAAAAATAAGAGGAAATATCAAACAGCAAAAACTAAACTAATAAGTGAAAACATGAACAACTTATTACTAATACATCATAATTAACCGAGCAAAGGAACAACTGCAGGGGAAGATGGCAAAAAAGTTGTCCCTATTTCGGTCAATAACCTTGCCCGAAAAAATCATACCTTTTTCGGTCAAGAAAAATGACCGAACTAGTCTTTGTTCTTTCCCGCTTCACGCTCAGTATTTTTTGAGCGGGAGGTTTGAAATTGTTGTCTTTTATTTCGGTGAGTTTAACTATCCGAATTAATCAATATCTACCTCTATATATACTGCTTCACTTTTCTCCTTTTTACTCAATCTCTCCTTCTTTCTTATATCTTTCTTCCGCATTCTTATTTTACTTTTGTTTAATTTTTTAATTCTTTTAATTTAGAATTTAAGGTTTAAATAAAAGTTTTCTTATTTTTATTTTCATCTTTCTTATATATATTTTTAATCTTCCTCTAATGATTTAATTTTTTATTTAAATAGGTTCCTTAATTTGATGAAGAATGCAGGAAAATTGAGGTAATTTACTTATCTACATATGTTTCATTTTTTTTTTCACTCTTTAGTTTATATGATTCCATTGAAATTCTTTTATGGATTTTGTATTATATTCTTTTATGATTACAAATGTGGAAGTTTTTTTTTTTACTAAATTGAATATATGTAATTTTCAAATTATTTTACTACTAGAAATCATACAAATTTTGAATTATTGTTAAAAAACAAAACAAATAATAACAATTGTACTAATTTTAACAATTATAAAAATTTCGAATTATTTTACTACTAAATGTTTTTATAATATTCATCAAGTAACCCAAATAACCATTAATTTATTAAATAATTTGATTTTTTTTTTTTTCGAATCTGGGCACTATTTCGGTCAAGAACCTTCACCGAAATATGTTGCAAATATTGTGCAGTTTTTCCGCCCAATTTCGCGGAAATTTTGCCAAAATATTTCGGTCAAGAAAAATCACCGAAATAGAGTTAATTGTACCGCCAATTTTTTTCAAATTTCCCCCCAAAATTTGGCTACATATTTCGGTCAAGGAGTTTGACCGAAATAAAGCTAATTTTCCGCCAAGATTTCGGAAATCCATCTAGAATTTTCCAATATATTTCGGTCAAGCAAATTGACCGAAATAGAGATGGCTTTTTTACAAATGTCCCTTACATATTATTCGGTCAGTCGTTATGACCGACCTATTAAATTAAAATATTATTATTAATTTCGGTCATATTTTTTGTCCGAATGTATTCA